TATTGTATTATATCGTACAATCAGAACTTACAAAGACGCATTAACAAAAAACTTATACTCCAGAAATCCACATGATATTTTTCAAAATACCATGTCTTCATGAAATCAACACTATAGCAAAGAGGAAAGCGCAGTCGTCAGTATAACATGATTATTCTTAAACGGATTGGAATACGCATAAATCTCGTCGTCATTGAGCTAGGATAGAAATTCTATTGAAATTTTTATAAAGCGCTTGCATCAGACGTCCTCAACAACTATACAGAATATTCTTGTGCGACAAAAAATTGATCTTACTCCTTTCAGATGCACATGCACCTCTGGGTGTGGGTGTGAGATAGATGTAGGTGTGTGGTGGGGTATGGGTGCGCATCTTTTCTAAATCCATACTCACACCCACACCCGAAATCGCGGTCTTCCAGGTAGACCCTTTAATGCATCATCGGCATAAGAGAAAACTAGTGAAAGTAGTTTCAAAGAAAGTTAAAACTTGATTAAAATATTCGTTCTAACAGAAACTGCGCTAACAAGAAAACCACTCGAAATGACACCCACCAGTTCAGCTCAGATTCGACGCACAAGAACGTTTTGGTGAGACGAAGAGAAGCTCAAAATGGCTCATCTCATGGACCAGACACTGGAGTAAAGTTATGATTATTTAACTGCGAGTAAATGTTGGTGTAGCTCAGATTGTGGAGGTGGACTATGTGTGGATAAAGATAGCGACCTCAACTCCTCGAAATTCGACATTCACACTCACATTCTCGAAGTAGTACAACAATGCATTTTTGGATTAATATCGTTGATATTAACTGACAAATCCAAATGTATTTGAAAAAGAAAGATAAAACAGTCATAAACAAACCTTTGTGAACTGAAGAAACTGATGGTGAAGATTGACTAGGGTGTGGGTGTGGGTGTGGAGGTGGGAGGTATTTATGTTCTCTATATCCACACCCACCCGCCCACACCCACACCCCACATATATATATATATATAGTTTTTATTGTAATTAAATTATTAATAAATGTCATCTGAACATGGATTACATGTTATGTTAAGTTATCATTGGGATAATAAAGAATTAGTTTCAAAAATTTATAAAGTACTTAAATCAAAAAATATCCCTGTATGGATGGATATTCATGGTGGAATTAGTTTTAATCTTTTTCATAGGTATTTCTATTGTTTTTCTTTTTTTCTAAACTTAAAATTGAATTGTATTCTCTCCTTGAAAATTAGTATGGCAGATGGAATTGAAAATGCTGCTGTTGTTTGTTGTTTTATGACACCAAAATATCAAAATTCACGTAATTGTGAAAAAGAATTATTATATGCTGATAGACGACATGTTCCAATAATTCCATGTCGTTTAACACGTGATTGGGAACCATCAACATGGCTTGGATTAGTTATTGCTGGACTTGTATGGATAGATTTTCGGGATACAACAGATATAAATATTGATCTTAAGATTGATAAATTAATAGAACAAATTCGAATTGTTGCAGGAAAAAAACTCAATTGTTTTCAAATAGGTTTTATTTAAATCTCTAAAATTGTATATATATATGAATGATTTATTTTTTTAATAGAAACTTCTTATGTTTTACAAACTTGTCCAATTTATTCCAGTAATTCTTCAAATAATCTTTATCCTGTTCTACCACAAACAAATGATATATCTGATTCATTGAAACGATCAACATCGGCAATATCTCATCAACATCAACATGTTAATAATATAAATATAGTACCACCACCAGTACCTCCACGTCCAAATAAAGATTTAATTCGAGAACGATTATTCTCAGTTGATATAAAGAAAAATCTCAATGAAATTGAATTTATCGATGAAAAAAAAGAGAATAAGTATGCTGAATATTTAACATATATGTATATAAGTAAAAATTTTTGTTTTTTTATTTAGTAAACCATTGAACAGTGAAAAACCAGATATATGTGAAATTTCACATTCACAACAAACACATGCACGTTTGATACCTGTAAGAAAATTTTCTTTCTTATGATAATGAAAAAAATAAAGATATGTTTTTTCAATAGGATGTTATAGATTTATCATCATCTATAATTAATAATGAAAAAAAACGTAATGGCATTATAATTGATTATTCAAAATTTCATTGTTCACCTCGTATTATTGCAGATGATAATGAGAAAATCTCATTTTGTTGTCCATCAGGTGTTGCAGTTTCAAAAACAGGTCTTATCTATGTTGCTGATCAACAAAATCAATGTATTAAAGTAATTCCATTGTTAGGAAGTGAAAAAGAAATTTTATCACGTCCATTTAATCGACCAAAAGGTGTACATGTTGATGAACATGGTCGTATACTTGTAACAGAACATAATCGTTTACTTACACTTGATAGTGAACTTAATCTACTTAAATCTATTGGAGATCATGGTTCAAAACCAGGGGAATTTAATGTACCATGGGGTAAGATAAATTTTTTTAAAATAAATAATTCAGAAGATAAATCATTGTTATTGATTAGGAATTACAACAGATTCATTATCAAATATGTATATATGTGATCAAATGAATAATCGAATACTAAAATTTGATGCTGATGATCGTTTTTTTATTAGAATGGGGTCATGAAGGTGAAGATGCAGGTCAATTTTATTATCCACATTTTATTTCTATATCAGGTAATCATGTTGCTGTATCTGATCAACTTAATCATCGTATACAAGTATTTGATTGTTTTGGAAATTATCATTATAAATTAGGTGAAATTGGTAATGAACCAGGTCAATTTAGTTGTCTATTTGGAGTATGTATCGATGCCAATGATCATTTAGTTGTTGCCGATGATGATAATAATCGTGTACAATTTTTTGATGAAAATGGTGAAATTAAACTTATATTAGATCAAAAAGTAAATCCTTTATTTAATTTTCAAGGTGTTCATGGTTTAGCATTGACTTATGATGGTGGACTTCTTATTACTGATTATAAACGAGATGGAAAACATCGTTTATTTATTTTTGCTTAATTTCTTTTTCTCTGATGCTGTTGTTTTTTTAACAGATTGTGCAATACAATTTGAATATTCTGTTTTGTTTGTCAGTGATTTTTAAAAACAATACTATTAGATTTTATTCATTAAAACAGATATTTGAATGTAAAAAGATAAATGGTTGATAGATATCAATCGTAAACGAAAAGTTGAATACTACATAGATGATTGTTTCATGTTTACCTCCGCAAGTAAAATTGTATTTATGAAGATGATGAAATCGAAATTTTGAATGCATTTTGACCTATTTTGAGTCAAATACTTAAAAAACATAATTTATAAACTTTTTTGTTAATTCATTATTACAGAAAATATCAAGAGAAATCAGATGAAACAATATAGAACGTGCTCTTAATCAACTCTAGTATTCATAGAAATAATGAACCAAAAGTTTTTTTTCATCATAATCTTCTCTAGTGCATGCAATCAGTGTAATAATAACTAAAAATTATTTACAATAAATGAAAACATAATAATGTTGAAATTTGTTAGTTGATCTTGTATATTTGAAGATCTTCTAGAGAAAAAAAAAAGAAGTTTTTTGTGTTATCGAAATCCTTTTTGAAGAAAGGTTTCGGCAGTCACTTTTCCGACTGCATAGAATTGAGTTATTCATGATGTTTATCATATGTAGATAATTCTTCAACATAGTTACAACATGTCATTTTTTTAAACGTCATTAAGTATATATTGTTAAATCTGCATTGTGTCTTGTGTTTTTTTGTATTCTACACTGTAGAAAATGATTACATTTTTGTTGCCTAGCAAACTGATAAAAAAAAAACACTGCAATAAGTAATATTTAGGGTGTGAATCAGGGGTGTCAGCGTTCCGTTCCCAGGAACGGGAACGCATCTCAAAATCGCATTTTCCAGCTTTATTTCAACATGGTGAGGCATCTAAATGTGTTCGCTTTTATTTTTATGTGTGGGTGTTCCGCGTTCCCGTTCTTAGGACCGGGGAACGTTACCCCGTTCCCGTTCCCGTTTCCAGGAACGGGGAACGGGAACGCAACATGCATTCATTTCACTTTTAAAAGAAGCTTTCCGAATTCATCGGAGGAAAGGCAATTTCATAAAAATCATGGATTTTTATAAAGTTTGACCAAAGGTAATCGAGGTTAAGGAATCTAAATCTGCAATCAGTTTCTGAAAATTTTGAGTTTGATCTTTTTGTCAAGGAAAGGATATTCTCTAAAAATGACGATATTTTATAAAGTTTGAACAAAGAGAATCGGGGTCAAGGAATCCGAATCTTCAGTTGATTTCTCAAAAATTTCGAGTTTGATTTCTCTTGTCAAGGAAAGGATATGTTTGAAAAATAATAATTTTTTTTTAAAGTTTGATTAAAGGTAATCGAGGTCGAGGAATTTGAAGCAGTAATCAGTTTCTCAAAATTCTGAGTGTAATCTTTTATTAAAAACATCTTTTTTTAGTAAAAAAATTGAATTTTTAAAGAAAAAGAAGCTTTTGCGGAAAAAAGATCGGTTTTTGCTAAAACAATCTTTTCGCTAGAAAAAATGAAACGCGAAATTTCGAGAAACAATTTCGAGGTTCAGATTCCTCGATCTCGATGACCATTGATCAAATTTCACAAAAGATTATCATTTCTCGAAAAAACTCTTTTCTAACGTAAACAATCAAATCCAAAATTTTCAGAAACTGATTATTGATTCAGATTCCTCAACCCAGATTGATTTTGGTCAAACTTTATCAAGAATGGTTATTGTTCAAAAATACCTTTATCTTAACGAAAAAA